TTTATGGAAGAAACAGCCATTTATCTGCATCAAACAGCCTAGATGCTTTCAGCTGATTTTCCCCTAGTCTTAAAGAAGGATAAACTTAACACCTTTGCTTTAGTATTAAGCAGAAAAACAAGGCAGAGGCAATCTCAGGGGGAGGTGGGGAGGGAACACTTGTCTGTCTAATTAAACCAAAAGAACTTATGGTTTGTTGAGCACTACAGGAACAATTAACACAGATACAAGAGTCAAAGTATAAATAATCTCAGTCATGAATGCCCCTGCGCTAGCCCAGATGCAAACCAGTACAGCACCACCCCACAGAGCCTGTCACCTACCTCACAAGAGGTGTGACAGCTGAGTCACCAACCAGCCCCAGAACAAGAGGTGCCTCTGAACAGCCTTCGACCAGCTCCCTCAGCAGGGACCTACTTAACAACGGATCCAAGGAAATTACAGGACAGAGACTGCTGCACCACGTACAAACCTCAACCACGGATGGTCCCATCTCTGGAAACACCTTCTCAAGGCAGCAAGTGGTTACTAGTAAAAATTACCAGGTAAGTCTTCCAGAACCAAGAGAATCACAACCACAAAGGTGTATTTATTACATCCATTTAATCAAAATCCATATCCAAAGTCCACAAGCAGCCAAGCCAAGCTGCAGAGCTCACTCAGAAGCAATACCATTAAGAAGGAAATGGCAAAAATAAATTCCAAATGTATTAACTAGCAGGTACTTTGAATTAATGTTGTTTTTTTTTTACATAATTATACATGCATATATATATGGTACTGGCGAGTGTGACAGTGCTGTGCACAGCATTAGTTCTGAAAGTACTGTATGTTTATAGTCTCAAGGAAATGGAGTTCAGCATACACTTACTCCCTAAGTAATATTTTTCTTTTAAATTTCCTGACAGTAGATGCCAGTAGGAAGTGAACTGATAGGTGGCTTCCAAGACAGTGAACAAAAAGCGAGTCTAAATCACACCTATCTAATCCCTTAAGGACAGAGCAGGAGCTCAATAAAAAGCAAACAGAATAAGCTTTTAAACATTATGAATGAGACAAACATTGCCTCATCCAGGTCCTGCCTCTTCTGAGAGGAAAAGGCCCTTCGTGAAACAACTGAGATAAGATACAGGTTAGCAATACACATCTGTTGGGCTAATGCCAGCAGCAGCTGGCATCTCCAGGGTAAAACTGGAATTCTGCTCTTCATCAGACAAAATCCTGGTTCTCACCAATGCTTTTAATATGTACTGTTCGTCAGTAGGTCTTAGAACATGGCAGGAATGAAGAAAAGTTTTGTTTTAAAATAACTGTAATACATGAAAACCAGACATTTAACCTGACCTAGGTTCAGGACCCCACCATTAAGCTGAGCTGACAGAGCTACACCTCACACCACACCTCTGCACCTCTGTGGTGGCACAGTATTGCCCACAGAGCACAGCCATTCATACTCCTCTAGCAGGGACAGCATTCAGAGCAAGAATTCTGAGGAAACAGCTTTATGTACTTGAAAATTGATTTTAAACAGGTCGGGATTGTATCTTAGTGTGAATGCCTACTTTTAAAAACTTGAAATGCAGCCTACTCTGTCAGACAGATCAAAAGATCAAGTAACATCACCCGTGAATAAAACCCTCAAAAGCCACATTAGGAGCCCCATTTCCCTTGTGTTAGGTAATAAAGTAGCTCCTGAGAAAGCCCCTGAACCCAGGCAAGCCTCCACCAGTGCAATACATTTTTAGTAGTCAGGCTGTCCTGCCAATGATACTCAAGCTCTTTTATAAAAGGGAGAAAGAGGAGCCAGTTGTAACATCACTGACAGATATGAAAGTATGGACAGTGCATAATTTAACGACTTCTCTGCAACAAACCTCACAGGAGAATCCCAGAACCATTCTATCAACACACATGGCTCTGACCCTAGGGAAAGACCTTCAGTTGCCATCACAAATTACATGTTAGAGGCTGGAAACTCCTCCACACCCTATAGGAAATCTGAAATTATTATCTATTAATAATCATTACAGATTTCTATTGTCCTCTTGATTTCCTGAATTTAGGCCTACACAGTTCTTATTTTCAGTCTGAAAAGTATTTCAGTGCCCACTTCATGGACACTTCAGCTGCTCTGCCAGTCTTTGCCTCTAGTTTAGAAAATGGGCCTGAAGTTCACCAAAGTAGAAGAGAGGTTGATCTAAACCAAACTATTCCAATGTCACTCTCCTTCCTACTATGGCAATTCCAACCCCTCCAGTTCAGGAATACAGGGCAGCTACAGAGGGTTGTAAAAAAACTTACAAACATATGCAGTCTATACCTGAGCTACCCTGAGGCAGAGGGGTCCTACTGTTTTCCCAGAATACTCCACAAGAAGTATAAATACATTGTAATTAATGACGGACACTGGCTAGTGAGTTTTTCATGGAAGAAAAAGTTGGAGTGCCAATCAAGGCAGTCAGCAGACATTGATTTTGGAGCTGTCTCATCCACAGCAAGTTGGATAGACAGTAAGTTGAGAGCAAAGACACAGCTGGAGCTCCCAGGCTGGGAGGCGTGCAGGAGCTAGGACAGGGCACAGGAGTCAGCAGGACAGGCAAGACAGAGCCCATGAGCAGCCAGAAAGGAACTGCCGATGCCTTTTGCTTCTGTAGAACCTAAATGAACAATTAATCCTGTAGAAAAAGTGACTGACATCATTTCAAGGGCAAAAATCAACAAAAGCTGTTAAGATGGTGAGCATTTTACTGGGTTCTTCATTTGCCTTAGCCTGGATGTGCATTAGACTCAGGTATTTAGCTCATGCAGCCACTGAATCCTGGAACATCTACTCCAAGTGAATGAACTAGAAATAATGCAGAAACCACTGTCCCTTATTTTAATTTTGGACATACTAAGAGAAACAGTCTCTTTCTTGTGTACCCATCTCCTATCACCAACTACACTCTAGAACTGAGATCCCCATGAAAAAGCAAAACCTCAGCCTGCTTCAGAACCATCCATGTTCAGTGCTGTACTTGCTCCAATCAGCACTGAAATCAGACGGGAATGCCATGAGGCACATGTGGAACAGGAGAGCAATTCCACAGGCAGTCCTTCCTAGATGCTTCCTCCAATCCCTATTGTATTCCCCAAATCCTTTGTTCAAATGCTTTTCCTACACAACTTTAAGCAGTAGTACCCAAGGGGGACAGCAATGCTCTTACAGAGTTACAGTGCTCAGAGGGGCTTCCAAAATCCTGAGATGTCATTTTACACAGACTTGGCACATGACGAAGGGCAATGCAATCCAGTCTGTACACTGACAGCAGCCACTCCACTGTGGTCACCAGAGAAGCCAGGGATTGTCTTTTTCTGTGTGCCCACCCATAATCCGCTCTAACCAAGAAGTTCCATGAACAAATAACAGCATGAAGCCACAATACAGAGGCTTCTCTAGATTCCAGAGAATCCAGTGTGTAAAACACCCGCACAAAAATTGTAATTCTTATCTAAAGTGTAAATAAAATCAATTCAACAAGTGCATATCTAAGTGGATAAATTGAAGCGGTTATCAGACAAAAAAAATCCGGCTTTGCAACAGTGACTGGTCACTTCTCACTGCCAGACAAATCAAAATCCACCCTGCAGAAAAATCAGCCTCAGAACAGAATGTGAGATTTGTTTCATTTACGAAGCTTCCTGCACCATTAGATTCTTTCCTAAAGAAGAGACTTCATTGTTACGGCAATTAGTATTCCTCCACCCCGGCAAAGGGAGGAAAAAAAGCTCCGAAAGGGTAATCGAGCCATTTCGCAGCTTTGCCTCCTTACTCCACCCAGTCTCTTCCCTGCTCAATGGCTGCTCACAGCATCCACAAACATGGGAACAGCAACAGAAACACACAAAAACGAGATGCCCGAGAACAAGCCGGATATTTGCAACGCATCTTACAGTTTAAAAATATTTTCTTTGTTTAGTTCCCCAATATAATTTTCCTATTCAACAAAATTACTCTAAGGGCAAACAACATTCTGACAGCAGACCCTCCCTCTCCCGAAAAGCAGCCAAATGCTGCACAATCATTTAAAAAATGATCATCACTGAACGGAGGTTCTTTAACCATCACCTCCTAATGCCATGAACAATACTGTCATAGGAACATACACTTAAAAGAATCACCACAAAAATACATCATTTAGCCAGGTCAATATGCCCAAACATTAGTTATATAAAAACGGTGTTTATTAGAGGTTTTTAATATAGCTTAGATTAACCTTCCCCCATCCTTAGTAGGCAATTCATTATGAAAGGACTTGACCTGCACCAACCAAGCCCACTGCTGCAGCACTGTCGGTGAGGAAATGGTTCGAGTGATACCATGGCAAAGAAAGGGAAGGTGTCACATTATTATTGGTATTAAAGGTCAAGTTTCATTGCATCCACCTTAAAGAAAAAAACCAAAAACAAACAAAAAAAAAATAAATCTCACGCCCACAGAACTGAACAAACCCCAAACTTTTCAAGGGAGGCACCTACCCCCCCAGCTTCTATCAAAAGCCCTGCCTGCATATAACCTCCTGCCGAAACAAAACCTCGGGAGTACCAATAAATACAGAATTTTAGCAATATTATAAGGTTTTCACGAGAATCTTGTGCACCTGCAGCCATCCAGGCAGTGATATGACCCCCAGAAGGAGAGATTAGACCTCCCTCCCCCGTTTTACTGCAGCTGGTTCTGAAGGTCTGAGCCACCTCCTATCGTTGCTGCCCTGCTGAGCACTGCAGGAAAACTGGGGATGCGAAACAAATTCTGAAACAACACCTACTCCTTTCCCTGGATTATTAATTCTCGCCTTGTTTTCGGTGCCTCGGCCGCGCTGGCGATTTGGGCCATCGCCCGACGCCCGGCCCTGGCCGGGGAGAGGGTGACAGGGGAAAGCCTCGGCAGGAACCGGGGAGGGATGCCCTGAGCACACACCGGGCCCGTCGATCCTGAATGCTATTTTATCGCTAATTACCCTGGTCCATCGCCTCCTCCCGGTATTTGCTAAGTCACGGACGG